GCGTGTGCTAGGTGGCCGGGGCGCCGAGGAGCAGGACGACGACCTGCCAGAACTGTCGGACAGCGGGGACGAGGCCGCCTGGGAGGATGAGGACGAGGCCGACCAGCCCCACGACAGGCTGCAGACGCCCTGCCTGTTCTGTAACAGGTTCGTCCCCGGGGTGTGCCGTGCGCCCCGGAGCAGCCCGTGGGGTGGGCGATGGCCCCCGCAGAAGGAAGACCCGCCTTGGTGTGGAGGGAGGAGCCGTGCGCAGCCGTCCAGGTGGTGCTGTGTGTCTCCAGCGGGCCTGTTTCCCTGGCGTAACACGAGACCACGTTGGACTGAACTGTGGCCTCCTTAAGTGGTTTGCACCCTTGCAGCTGAGATACCACAAGCAGCAGACAGTGAACCGTACACCTCAGCCTTTCTAAATCAGGATGGGTGTAGGAATTGTGGTGGGGTCTATTTGGTTCTGTTTTGGTTTTTCAGACAACGTCTTGCTATTTAGTTCCAGCTGTCCATGAACTCAGTGTGTAGCACTGACTGGCCTCCAACTCAGCGCAGTCCTCCTGCCTCAGCCTCCTCAGTGCTGGGATTACAGGCTTGCACCACCACGCCTGCTTGGAATTGTAGTTTCAATAAAAACACTGAGGTGATTCTAACGGTATTCGAGTAACAAGTTTGGGAGTCACACTGATTTAGGTGATCCCTGGACACCCTTCCATATGACACCGTTACTAAGTTTTGGAGCAACGGAGAGCTGCTCAGATGTAATATTTCAATTTGAGCCGTTTAGTCTTAAGTTCATCTTAAGTAGGGCTACCCCGCTTCTCAGGAATTGATGCCCTTTTTCACTTTGGGGGACTTGTACAAGGTCAGAAACCTGTGGTTTTTATTCACAAACACATTCCACTTAAAATTCTGCAATTTAGCCTCAAGAAACTAGGACTTGACTGCTGTGGGCAAGAGGGCATGAAAGAGAGCTGATTGGCTTGGCCAGTGTGGCCTTAATGAGCTTTGTCCACCGTGTCCTGTACTGATTGGCTTGGAATCGATGGGTGGTGATCAGTGTTCTCCTGTGTGGCCTCCTTGGTGAGGGAGAGTGTTCGTGCAGACGCTAGCTATGGTAAAGTAGTATTTATGGTACATCCGTGTTGCAGTCCCTTCTGACAGGCTCCATAGATACTGCAAATAACCTATCTTGATGAACATTTGAAAACTACTGCGCATGTGCTTGGCATATAGAAGAGTCACGCAGCATCTCTGTGGTGTAGTCTTACCTTTGGTGTTCTTCAGGTGTGCAGGTGGCATAATAAAGAGGCCTGGGCCTCACTGTGTCTAATGCAAGTACGGTGGGAACACCACAAACCACCTTGGAAATACGGCACTTTGGGGATGTGCCAGCTGTGAAATTACATTTTATTCTGTATTTCTAAAAGCAGTTTGAACTGTGCCACTTCAAAGCCTCTGTAAAACAGTTGACCCTTGGGGGTGGGGAATCTAAAGGCGTAGTTTTCATGACTTGAGATACACAAAATCAAAGGGAGCTTGTCTTTCCTAAGAGCCTTTTGATAAATTCAGTGCTGTTTAAAGGGTAGTGAATTTAAATGTTAAATATGGATGTGAAGTAGTAATTCTCACAAGTACTGGGTTTCAGTCATTCATCTACATATACATCTTTTAAAACTAGAAATCAACTGAGTGGAAAAAAAAAAATTTGATATGAAGTCACTATTTAGACGGATGGGGTTGTTCCCTGAAACTGTCCTTTGATTTTTCAGGTTATTCACATCCGCTGAAGAGACATTTTCACACTGTAAATCAGAGCATCAATTTAATATCGATAGCATGGTCCATAAACATGGTGAGTATTTTGTAGAATAAAGGTAATTTTACTTGGGAAGTTTTAAGTTCAAATTTTCAGGCCCTTTTTTTATGCAAGTGCAATATAGTGAGACCACAGCTTCTCTTATGGGAATGTTTTTGACAAGTAGCACGTGAGGAAAGATATTAAGTTACTCTTTTGGGCAAAATTCACTGTATTTAAGCTTATAATGGCTTCACAATTTAAAAGGGGGAAGAAACTGGCATATGAGTGCATTTGGGAGAGGTGGTGGGTCCTTGTAAAAGAAGACAATCAGCAAAGTATAAACGTGAACTTAGAGGTCTACAAAACTGAGTTATAAGCTGAGCATGGTAACATGCTTGTAATCCCTGCACTCGAGGGGCAGAGGCAGGAGGATTGCCAAGAGTTTGAGGCCAGCCTGGACTACAGAGTGAGACCCTGTCTTAAAAAAAAAAAAAAAAAAAAAAGTTTTATAAATTTGGTTAGAAAGTGCACTGAGGGAGTTAAGATAGTATGCAAAATATTCAGGTGGTGTTTCTATTGCCTTGCATTTAAACTTACGTAAAGCTTTCTACTTCAAATGGATATAGAAGAGTTATACTATTCCACTAAAATTAACTAAATATAGACTTGGCCTTTGGTCCCTGTGTTTATTAACACAAATTGTTGGAGAATGGCAAATACTAGATAGATGTTTAGGTCTCAGATAAATATGTGATACGTTTATAAATCATAAATTCACGTATAACTACTTTTGGAAGTCATATAAGCAGCAGCCTGATTTTTTTCTCCCATTTTAAATTGAGTTGAAATCAAACTTTATACGTAATTTTTCACTTATGAATGGAGTTTTTGTATGCTATTACAACATCATCATTTCTCAAAAATAACCAGTTTCCCATGATGAATAGTGTCCAATTTGTCTCACAACAAATAATAATGAACATATTACTACTTTCCTTTGTCTTAAATGGTGCTTCATTTCTGGAAAGATATGATATGCCTCATTGTTTTTTAATTTGCATCATTTAGCTTCATGGAAAAGCTAGTAGAATTTGTATATTCAGTCTTGACAAAATGATATTTTTGTAGGCACCATAAAAATTAGAGCTTTAGAAACCTAAGTCTTTAATATTAACTGCCAAATACTTGGTAAAATTGTGGACCTGCTTTTCCAGATCTGTACAGTTCTGACAAATGAGTGACTTCCAGAAATTAGTTTCCAAAACTAATTATTAAAAATTTGTCATTTCTGGTTGTATCAAAATTATAATTTCTAATTTTGAAAAAATAAAAATTTGAACTATAGGTTGCAGTTTAGAGTTTAGAAATATTTTATTATCTAATCAGAGAATCCCTTAAAGAATAGCTCACTAGCTCACTTAAACAGAACTCATATAAAATAGGTGAATTGTCTTTTTTTCTCCCCTTAGGACTTGAATTTTATGGATACATTAAACTAATAAATTTTATTAGACTTAAGGTAAGTCAGAAGCTCAATTTATAATTTTATTTAGAAATACAGGGGATGCTACAGTGCCTCTCATTGCACTGAATATTTATGGACTTTGAGGAACTGTGTAAATTTGACATTCATCATACTATAGGAATCATGGCCACGAGGCACTAGAAAAATGTAAAATACTACATAAATGAATGCACATAGTTGAAAGTGTCATTCTGATGAAGACAAAATCAGTAATGTGTGAAAAGTAGCTCCAAGTCAGATAAGGGGAAATGCTGATAGTGTTACATAAAATCAAATAATTTCTAATGTGACTGCAAATACTTTTTTGCTCTTTTTCTATTTTTTCCAATACTGTTCTTTTTTGTTGTTGTTGTTCCATTTAAATGAGTGTTATTGTCACTTTTCCTGAATCTAAATGGTAGAAAACTGCAGTGAAACCATTTAGAATTACAGGTCAATACAAATCCCTTAAACAGAGATAAGTGATTTTGTGTAATCCAGATATGATTTCTTTTTTTTTTTTTTTTTTGGTACCGGTGATTGAACTCGGGTCCTTGCACTTGCAAGGCAGGCCACCAAACCGCTGAGCTAAATCCCTGGCCCAAGATATGATTTCTTTTTCTAATTTTCCTAATTTTTAACAGATAGATTCATGATTACATGCAGTGAATAAACATGCAATTAACTTTACATCCAGAATCCTACAGTTGAGTATATGAATTCCATATACAACCCAGTGCCTTGGGAGAAAGAAGAGTATTTGAAGCCAGTCTTAGAAGATGACCTTTTACTTCAATTTGGTAAGATGAACATGCTGCCATTCAATATGGAAACAGCCCCCTTTTGTGTGGTTTCACTTTCCATATTTTCACTTAGCTACAGTCCACTGCAGTCTGAAAATACTAAATGGAGAAGTCCAGAAAGAAACAGCTCATGAATTTCGAACTGCATGCCCTAAGTAGTGTGATGCAGTATTGTGACATCCAGCTGTGTCTCGTCTGGGATGTGCATGTTGTGGCCACACTGTGTGTATTATCCACTCCTTAGTTAATTAGTACCATAGCATCGTAGTTAATTGGTAGCATTTTAGAATTAACTGTTACAGTACTTGTGTTCAGATGATCCCTTTTGAGGGAGACCACATTCACGAAACTTACAGTATAGTTATATTTGTTTTATTGTTACTGTTAATTCTTGCTGTGGCTGATTTATACTTTTTTTGATAGCACTGCGTATGTAGGCAAAGCACCACATATATAGGATTGAGTACTGTCCGTAGTATCAGGAAGTCAGTGGGGGTCATAGAACCTGCCCCCCATGGGTCAGGAGGAACCGGCTTTGTGGTTCTCTTAAGGCCTCATCACTTAGAAGCTGACAGTTACAGTAACCATTTCAGAGAGTAATTTACATTTAAGAGCATGTTTGAATATTTTGTATTGGACATTTTCAAACAAAGTAGTGCTTGAGAGAAGAATTTTTAATTATTAGACAATGGACTTAAACTTGAAAGTGGACTGAATTAAGTTTTACTGCTTCTGTCTCAAATATTCAGGTCCCACAATTGGCTTAACATGTCTGATCTCCTCATATTTTGTTTTGAGGCAGGACAGATTCCACTCATGTTTTCATGAGCTTATCCTCATTCACTGACTGAAGCTTCCCTTCTGTCAAGGTCTCTCTCATTTCTTGACTGTAGCTTTCTTTAGTTATTTGCTCTGTGCTTTGTTTTTTTTTCCTTATTGCACAGAAGTCTTATGGGAATTATCTTGGTTTCTTATACTTTATAGGTCTAATCTATAGAAACAAAATTATATATTCTTTTTCTTTTGAGACAGGGTCTTACTCTGTAGTCCAGGCCGGCCTTGAACTTGGCAATACTCCTTCATCAGCCTCGCAAGTGCTGGAAACAGATGAGCCCTTTCCTACCAGGATTTTCATATTTATTCTACTCTTACTTTATCTCATGCCTCTTGTGCCAGTCAGGGGAGATGGACGGTTTGCTGTCTTCAAATCAGCAAGACTATTATAAACAGAGGTACAGTAGCAGATAATAGTCCTGACAGTTTCTGTCTGAGCAGTGACTCCATCACCTTCGGTTTCTTGAAAAGTATCGCCCTTGAGTTGTAAGGTATTGTGATGAGGCAGTGAGTACCTTAATGTGCCAAGCTTAAGATTTTACGAATTGTGACATGGGATGAAACACATAAGCTTTCTGTTTTGTCCTTCTACCTACAAGATAAAGGTTTGGGGCCAGATCTCTGAGATTTGATTCTAGTTCTAGAATTTGTTCTAAAATTTGATTCCTATCTTTATTCTTAACCCTCTTGACAACTTTTTCTGTAACCTCATTTCTCAGCGTGACCATATTGGTCTCTTTGATAAATGACAAAGTGCCCAAAAGGTGTTCTTCATAACTTCCTAAATTCAAAATCCTATACTGAACACTCACTGGATGTAGGTAGTGTATTCAATGTCTAATGAACTCAGAAATGAAAGTTATAGTCCTTTCATCAGGAGTCCCCAGTCTAATATGTAGGTGTTTTTTTTTAATGGCCTGTCCTGTACTTTAAGATGAAGTAGAATATGATAAATGTCATGAAAAGCAGAAAAGGTACTGCAGGAGAAGTTACTCAGATCAATGACACAATGTCCCTTGAGGAAAATCTAATGTGCTACCTGCTGTGCTGCAGGTAAGGACTCATGCTGCTAGGTGGACCTTAGGTTTGTTTTGAGGATGAAATGAGATACAATGCATGTGCACCTGAGAACTGCCTGATAATCAGTAAGAGGAGGTTTTTTTCTTTTTTGTGCTTGGTTCAATATAATCAATACATACCTGTGTTTAAGTTATCTAACTGATGAAGAACTTAAGCAAACAGCGTATTCTTTGAATTCAGAATGAAACAATTTGGATGTTAAATATTTATGTAGAAGTACTTTCACCAGTGTTTTTCTGTTGGCCACATAGTAAGCATTTAGGATATATTCCTAATGTGTTCATACTCTTTTCATTGCTAGAAGATGACTTGATGATGATATCCGATTATTTCTTTAGATGTAGAAGATCTTTATGAACCAGTGTCAGTCCCGTTCTCATATCCCAATGGGCTCAGTGAAAATACTTCTATTGTCGAAAAATTGAAGCATATGGAAGCCAGGGCGCTGTCTGCTGAAGCTGCATTAGCCAGAGCACGCGAAGATCTGCAGAGAATGAAGTAATTTATAGTCTTATAGAAAACTGTTTAGATCCCTCAGATAACATGGCTAATGGCAAGGTAGACTATAGAACATGTCATATTCTAGAAATCACAGTGTAGATGTATAGTAGTAGTAAAGATTTACAGCATCGGTATACTTGATTGATATAAAGTTTAATGGTTTTACCTATCTGTACTTCATAATTACTTTTATACTAAAGGTAATTATTCTGACGGATGTTGTCTTCTTGAGTATTTTTCCTTTTGATATTATGTTTTTCTTTTAAATGTCCTATTTGCAATTGGTTTCTCCATTTTACTTTTTCTGTACCAGCTTTTTAAAAGTGGAGGGATTAATATTTTTTAGGTTTGGGGAAAATGCAATGTTGAAATTTTTGTTTTTTAACGATCAGAATGTAACAATGACGTAATATTAACCAGAAAACCAAGTATAGCAGGGGTGGCAGTTTTTTGCAGTGAGTAAGTTAGCATCCACTGATTTAATGCCTCCTCTAAGTATAAGTGACCTGCATACAGATCACCGGGGGAGATCTTGTTATACAGTATAGATTCTGCTTCAGCAGAGGCAAATAAGGCCGGAAATTCAGCATTTCTAACAGGTGTACTCAATGCTTTCCTTTTTGGATTTGGAAGGTGGTTGCCATTGCCTGAGTACCCATTAGATGGTTTGGCAGTTTTCTGTCCTGTATGAAAGCCAGCACAATCAATTTTAGGTCCTCTTTTGTTTTTGAATTTTTATGGTTGGGAGCCTAGCAGCCAATACTTTCTGTCCATGTAAAATAGAAGTTGATTTGTAGCTGTACTTGGTAATTACACATTTTGTTAAGCATTATAGATTAAAATAGCAAGATTTTTAATTCAGAAAAACTGAAAATATCTAAGAAGATAATGTTAGATTATAAAAATTACTAAAATTTCTGGATGATCTCCCCTTGCATACCTGCCTTATAGATTATTAATGTGTCATGGTGAGAGATTGAGTTTTAGAGTCTTACTGAGTGGTGGTAGTGTGTATAGGTTACCTACTTGGGCCTACTTTCTATTCATTTAACTCTCCTAATGGTAATACAGTTTTAAAGAATATTAAGAGAAATGAAATGTACTACCTTGATTCAGATGCTAAAAATGATTTTAGAACCATAGAAATGAGGAATTTGAATAAGGGAATGTGTTTGTTTTGTTCATTTGGGAGCTATAAAGAGCTGTAATCAGCACCTGGCATGGTTTCTGCAGCTTGCCAAGGGGAGGGCGCATGGCCTGGATAGGATTTGCCATTGCTTAAGCTCCAGCAGGGGGAGCTTTTGGCTGCTGATGGTTAACAGCAATGTGAAAGGCTCATCATTCTCCACTCCATGCCCTCCCCGTTCCTCTTTCTCAACCTCTAGCCTTTCCTTTTTCATGGTCCAATAAACCTGTCTCAAGGGTGTATTTCAAATTGATTACAGACAATTTGCTCAGGATTTTGTGATGAACGCAGATGTCAGAACCTGCTCGTCATCTACTGCCATTGCAGACCTGCAGGAGGATGAGGATGGCGTTTATTTCAGCTCATACGGGCATCATGGGATACACGAAGAGATGCTGAAGGTCAGATGAACACAGAGGCACCAAATCCAGGCTAATGCAAAAGTAGAATGGGACAGGCTTGTTTCTTAATATGTGAAAACTGCTGCTGCTTTTTTATTTTTTTAGACTGCCTGTTAAATCTCTTTGGTGCTGAGTAACTCATCTTGAAGTGAAGATTACAGCAGCACTGAAATTGTTTAAAATTTAAGGGCCGAGGATTTAGCTCAGTGGTGCTGCTGCCTGCCTCACAAGAGCAAGGTCCTGAGTTTCATCCCCGGTACCAAAAAAATAAAATAAAATAAATTCTGCTTAGATCATTATTAATCTTTATTAGGAAGTTCCTTTTTGTTTGGAATAGAACATTGGAAAAAACAACTGCTAATGATTTTAGTCTTCTCAAGAGCAACGGTTACATTAAATAGGAATAACTAGATTATGCATATTTGTTAAAGTGAAAGAAATGATTAATTTTAATGTTTTAAATGTCAGTACTGACTTAGTTTGGGTAAATAAGTTTTGGCTAAACTTTATAAATGTCACATTTGTTATGGCATGACACACTTGAAATAATTGGTATATAAAAATATTTCCTAAGTTGGTTCACCATTTATTTAAATCTGGTTGCTCTTAATTTTCATAGTGATAATGTCCACGTAAAATAGAAGTCGATTTGTAGCTGTACTTGTTAATTATACATCTTATCAACCTCTTTATAGGTAAAACAAAGTTTCGTAGTTCAAAAAAACGGAAAATATCTAACAGATAAAAGTTGGATTGTAAAAAAAACTAAAACTTTTAGATGTTTATCTCTGGGAATTTTAGATGTCATCAGTATGTTCTCTTAAAGCCAATCTGCAAAAATTCCTTCCTAGATTCTTCCTCCAAAGATTATTTTATTTAATGAAGGACCTAAGACTAGGTTCCTTGAAAACAAATTTTAAGTAACCAGGGGTATTTTAAAATGTGTATATATTTTGTTGAGTTTTCAGGATCACAGGGTGGAAGTTTTCTTGTTGATAATGATTGTAATTATTTGGGGTGTTTTAAAGCAGTGTGATGTCAGTGCCAATAACACGTCACAGTTGTGCTTTCTGTTTGTCATTTGGTAATGGAGTAGCATTACAAATAACATAGATAATTTTTTTCTAGGATTTTTTTTTTTCCATTAGGTTTATTGGTTCATTTTAGGTATACAATACAGTTGCATTCATCATTAGGATCTTGTACCTTTACATGATGTATCTTGGTTCTTATTTTTTCCCATTTCCCCACCCTCCCTTCACCCCCTCCACCCATCTATTTACAAAGACTTTGTTTCCATGTTTTTCTTTTTCTCATATTTTTTCTTTTCTCTTCTTTTCTTTCCTCTACCCTTCCCACTTCCCCTATTCCTTTAGACGTTTTCTTCCTGTTTCACAATATCAATATCGAATAGTTTCTCTAGTGTGAAAAACTAGAGGTAAAATTTTTTTTAAGTTGGCTGAGTTTGTTTAGAAGAAATAGGTTTTATTTTCTTTGTTCAAGTTAATTATGTCTGAAATATTTTTTTAAAGAATTTATTAAAGTCTTTGTCATTTTATTTTATCATTTTATTTCTTTTTGGTACCAGGGATCAAACTCAGGACCTTGCGCTTGTGAAGCAGGTGGCAGAACCACTGAGCTAAATCTCCAGTACATGTCTGTCATTTTAAATCACTTCCTTAATTTAAATCTTATGAAAGTTGAATACTTTTGGTATGACACTGGTGTTGGCTTTTCAAATGGTAAATGTCGTGGAGACACCCTGTAGTATGGGTATTGTCAGTACAGTCACCACAGAAAATCATTTGCACACTTACAAATGTCTGTCCTGGACACCTACAGCTCTGTCAGTAACTGAAGAATCTTTACACCTGACTGTATCTTTTTGGGCCTTTTGATGTACGTATAGATTTAAGAAGTTCCAGCTCAAAAGCTCCAGTGCCAGCTTTTTCTTTTTTTTTTTTTTTTTTTTGGTACCAGGGATTGAACTCAGGCCCTTATGCTTGCAAGGCAGGCCGCAGAACCACTGAGCTAAATCCCGGCCCCAGCTTTTTCTTTTTAAAGAATTAATCACTTAAGTATAGTGGACCCTTGAGTTAGGACAGGCCTGACATACAAGTAACTTGGATTATGACTGGAATTTTAGTTTTAACTTACAAACAGTCTTGCATTCCAAGTGGTGGCCACTTTTGCTACCAGATAGTCTCAGATACAGATTTAACCCTTATAGAGTTCTGGAAGGAACACAACAATGTCCTTTCCTGTATGGGGCTAATTGAGAAATCCTGGGCCAGTGTCTCTCTAAAGACACTGAGATCTGCCTGTGTGCAGGAGAGAGACTTTGGAGGCTGTGCAGAGGAACCTGAGCCTTCAACTGACCAACTTGAGTCACACCCAGCCCTCGCCAACCAGTTGAGATCATAAGTCAAGGGTCCACTGTGTCTATTAATGTTCTTCATGCCCTCGTTTCCCTTAGCTGTCCTACAACATCATTACCTCTTGGTGATGACTTGGTTATGTGTTCACAGCAAATATGGGTGAACTTGATTCAGAAAGAACTGTTTATCCATTTCATATTTGGCTAAGTTAGGCACTGTGGACAACTATGAAGTATGTCTTATATCAGCCTATATTGCTTCCGTTTCTTACCAGGACAGTTCTTAGTACAAATAAACAGTTGAAGGTTTTCCTACCGCCACAGTGGTACCTAGTTTTCTAAATACTTTAATATTGTGTGATTTTATGACCTTATTTTTATGTTTAGAATTGGCCTTGCTTTTATAGACTGTAGTTTGGATTTTTTGTTAGTCTCTGATATTTTAATTGGCTTGCACACACCTTTTGATTATAATTTTAAAGTATTTTGTGACTTTATTTCTGGAGTAGAGATAAAAAGTCTTTTGAATTCTAGAGATGATAGGGGGAAAGATTACATGACCTTTTAAAATCCCTTGCCACTTGGTCTTTTTGAAGAAGAGTTGTTGACTAATAAAGTTGAAATGCATTACTGTCTGTTATTGTTCCAAGGGAAGTGTTTTTCTGGGTGTGCATATATCACAGACTGTGGTGTTATTTCTTAACTTGAAATGTTAGTTTTTCTTTATTACGGTCTCTTCATTGTATCTGTACCCAACTCATGTTTTCTCTCTACCTTCATGAGCGTATAAATTAAAAATTAACTGTTGTTCTTATGTGTAAAGTTTAAGGTATATAAAGTTTCTGTTGTCTTTAGCTTCATTGTGGGCTTTTTAGATTGATAGGAATGACCCCATGACATGTATACACCTTAAAATAATTGTCTTTTTTGTTTGTCTTTTGGGTTTTATTTTTTGGTGTGGTCTCAGTATGTAGTCCAAACTGGCCTCAGACTTGTTAGGAAGACTAGACTGACTTTGAACTTGTGATTCTCCCGCCTCAGCCTCCTAAGTGCTGGAATTATAGACATGTACTTAAAATATTATCTTTTCCTTAAGTGTAGGAGCTCTAATTTGGTTCTTCAGTGTTTCTTGTTTTTTTTTGTTTTGTTTTTTGCTATGGGCATCAAACCTAGGACCTTGTGCTTACGAGTCAGGTGGTACTAAATCCCTGGCCCAGTGTTTCTTGGTTTTAATAGGTTGGTACAAAAGAGTACTTTGCTATTTTAATGTTAGTCTTTTGTTAGAATAAGATTTTAGAAATGGCTATGAAGGCTGATTTTCTTGTTTGTTTGTTTGTTTTTGTGGTACTGGGGATTGAACACGGGTCCTTGCGCTTGCAAGGCAGGCCACTGAGCTAAATCCCTGGCCCTGAAGGCTGATTTTTAATTTCTTGTATTTTCACATTCACTGCATTTTTTTCTTCTTCAACGTATCGGTTACTAAATTGACGCTCTTGTTGATCCGAGGCACTGTTGGGTGTACTGCGGGCTTCATCAAAACGGGGTGAGAGCATACGAGCAGGAACAGATGAGCGTGGCAGGGGCCCGAAAGGGGTTGCAGTTGAGGGGGCAGAAGTGCTGGTGTTGGCCAGCATCTGGACGCTGTTGATGAAGTGGAGCAGAGCACTGGGTGGCGGTGAGAGCGCTCGGGGCTGCCTGCCCGACTGCCCCCTTCTGCAGGGCTTGCTGTTCCGGCAGAGTCACCGGTGACGGGGAGAGAAGTGCAAAGGCGGTGGAGCGCACGAGATGATAGGCTTCGAAAGGGACCGTTTTGGTAGACAGTTAAGGTAGTACATTTATTTAAACATTAGATTAGCCTAGTAATTCTTAAAGTGCCTCTTTAAAAAAAAGTTAAAAAGGGAGATTTAATAAGCCTGGTTTAATAGATTTTTTTCTCTTTTGGTAAAGCAATTAGAAATAATAAGAAAGCCTGGATTTAATTATGGTTATTTCCCTTTTTTGGCCTAAGAAATAAAACAACCTACCTTTTAAAGATCCCCTTTATGTTTAAAAAAAAAAAATCTTAATACTGGCATACAAATATTTTTGAGGTGTGTGGTTGTATAATTTTTTTTTTTTTGGTACCGGGGATCGAACTCGGGACCTTGTACTTTTGAGGCAGGCTGTGGAACCACTGAGGTAAATCCCTGGCCCAGTTGTATAATTTTTTGATGCTGTAGCATTTGTTATGTTACAGTGGAGGACACCAGACCCTGTAAGGTGGCATCAAATTTGCATAAGACCTAAACACATTCTACTGTATACTTCAAATTATTTGGAGATAACTTATAATACATAATTCTGTGTAAATGCTATGTAAATAGTTGTTATATTGTACTCTTTAGGGAATAATGGCCCAGAGAAAGCATGTATGTTGAACACAGATGCAGTTTTAAAAAACTTACTATCAGAGGTTGATTGAATTCCACGAACCTGAAATTGCACAGTTACAGTGGCTCAACTGTATTTTGTTTTTACTGAGTTTTGCACAGCCCTAAATTAGGATTCTCATTTTGTGATACTTTTCTCATATTCACATTTTCCTTGCCTAGTGGCACAGCCTTTAACTGGCTGATTTGTAGTCTGCATGTGTCTGAGCCTAGGGAAGCAGCTTTGTTCATGAACCAGCGTAAATGTTAGGAAGTTGACCGCCTGCCTTGGTCACAGATCATGTGAGACTTGGGTGTGACAGAATTTCAGTGTTGGCTGCAGGGTTCAGACGATTTACTCTTAGGCTTGTAGGCTTTCAAGCATCATTTCCCACTACAAAAATTTCTAGAAACAGTCGGATTGTAAATCAGGTAGATGCTGACAAGGACTGCCTTAGAAAAACATCTTTAGTGTGGCTTCATTTTTCATGAGTACGCGCAACTTGTACATTGAGCTATTTTATTCCTTTTCTCCCTTATTCTCACATAGCTCTGGTGCAGGGTATCGTGCTCTATGTTCCAGTCCTTATGTGAAGGAGCAAAGCCTTTTCGGTTATCTTTAATTATCACTTCAAGTCATAAGGATAGTGTATGTAAAGAGAAAAATGTGTACATTTGTAAAGAACATGAGTAGGTCTTTCAGCTTTCACTGTTTTCTTTAAATAAATGTTTTCTTTGTGTGTTGTAGCTATTTCTATCCTTTGTTTTCTTTTAGGAAAATAAATATATGTATAAATTTGGTTTTCCAGGCAAAAAGTAACTTGTAGACTGTAGAAACTAGCACTGTGTGATAAAACAGCAAACATCTTCCTAAACATTTTTAACTTGTTTAGGCCGTCCTGTAAACATGGTATTTTCTTCTCTTCACCCTAGGACAAAGTACGGACAGAAAGCTACAGAGATTTTATATACCAAAACCCACATATCTTCAAAGACAAGGTGAGCACCCTAGGCTACGGACATGTATGTTGCCTGGTGTTTGTGTGCAGTGGAAATCCTCTCTCTGTCCCCGTGGTGGTGACAGTTGATTTAGTAGCGCCTGGCTTTATTTCACAGACGACTTTTACGATGCTGCTCTGCAGTGCAGCCTGCTGATAACAGAAATGCAGACTGGTGCCGTCATTCAGTGTCGTTTCTTCTTAAATTGAAAGTCATTAATTACAGTGACGCAGTTTGAACTTTGCTTATCCAGATAATTTTTCCTAAACCATATTTCTAATGTATAGTAATTCGTGTGAATTAGGCTCCATATCAAAGCACACTTTATTATTCTAGTTTGTATTAGGTAGTTAAAAATTAATTAATTGTAAGAAGCTAATGAATGGGGTTAAATATTATATGGTAAAATGTATTTTATTTGCTTTCTTATGGCGTATTAATTTACTCCTTTGTGAGATGCTTTATATTTTACAGTTTTTGTTTGTTTGTTGTTTGGTTTTTTTTTTGGTACCGGGGATTGAACTTGGGTCCTTGCACTTGTAAGGCAGGCCACCGAACCGCTGAGCTAAATCCCCAGCCCTATTTTACAGTTTAATACTCTTTGTTACAAACGTGACAGTATACTCTAGGTGTGTCTGTGTTTGAAATTTGTGTTATTGCTCTTCCTCCCATAAGAGTTTTCATTCTTCTTTTCCTCCCCCATCTGTTCCTCTTTCCCTGTCTCTCTCCACTGGAATGGTTCCTAAAAGTTCAGGTTTTCTGGTTGTTCCTTCTTATTATAAATGAGTCTACCAGTTGAGACAAGAATTATGATCTCTGCCATTTTTATGCTTTTGCTTGAGGGTTCTCCCACCCTTCACTTCAAAAATATGTAGATTGAGATCATACCAGATTTTTACCATGCTTCTCCCATCTCCATTTTAAAAGCTCCTTCTGTAAGATTATTGCATGCTGTTACAGAAGTGGGTAAAACCCTTTCTTTATAGTTCTGCTTTTCCTGATTTTTGTATTGTTTGCAATATAACCTGGAATGACTTCTCATTTTCTATAACTTTTTCCTAAGAGTAGTATTTCACTTGCAACTTTAATCAGAAGTATTCTAAATTGATAGCACTGATGCTCTATTTTGTGTGACTAGAATGGGAACTCAGCATTTTTCAAAGTTTTTATAATCTTTCTTTAATAAATTGTGTAGAAAATAAGCCCTGTTCTGGCAGTCACTAATCTTGATTGTTAGGAGTTAGTTTAAAATTCTGGACAAGTGAGGGCAGTGAATCTCTTTGGGCCTATCTGTAAAGATTTTAAAAATCCTTTCTTACTCTTCAATGCCATGGGTTTCGTTACTGTAAAGCACCCTCATTGTCTTTGAGCTATTTTCTCTTAATGTTTTATGATATGAATATCATAAGAATTTAAGGACGTAAGTTATTTTTTTCCTTCAGTGTTGTCTGAATAGACTTATACTAGGGAAGAAAATACTGAAAAATGTTTCAGACATACTCTGAAAATGTATTATTTCATCATCAAGAAATTATTTGTGAATATTTATATATATATGGAGCAGTTCTTACTGTGCACTTAGATCTATGCACAATTACCTTATTTCTTATATATTACAGTAGTAGCATTATAAAAATGTGTATGTTATACATTCTCAAGTTACCATGAAAAACAGTGTATAAATATTTCATTGTTCTCCATGTACTTCTTTTATTAAGAAATGGAATCTGCCAAAGTCCAAAGAGACTTGTTAGTAAATTGAGAGTATTTTGTATTGGTGCTTTGCCTAACATGCTTGCATTTGACTTTCAGTATGTAATGGGTTTCATTTGGCATCTGTGGTTTCTCAGAATATACTGTAATTTAAAAAATATACATAACAATTTTTAATTTCAGAAAAGCACACTTAGGACATAATTTTCGGTAATTAAGAGCATTAATCTAGAGCTCTCATATATTCAAATTATTGGAGAGAATATTATACTATGGCTATAGATTTAGAAAATACAGTGCCATATATTTAAATAACATTGGAGAACTTAGAGATTATTCCTGAACATATTGTCTCATTGTCACTGGATGATATAACTAGGAAGTATTTATCTCTGTTTTACATGTGCTTTGAATGTAATGTGTAAACCAGTAGATTAATTGACTCCATCAAGACACGCAACTGAAAGATAGGAAATCTGGCCTTTCCTTCTGGTTAGTGTCGCTGACCCTGTGTCACCACACAGTTGACTACCAGTATGTTCACTTCCAGTGAGTGTTTCTGGTGGGCCCATTCATTACATACTAATTCATACTAGTTTTCCTATATGTAGATCATATGATTTGTTTGCTGTTAACAGGATGTGGTCATAAAAGTATTTGGAAAAAAAATCTCGGAAATCATAAAATTTTTTTCTAAATTGTATTATCATTTTTTCTCTTTGCATTTATCACAGTGAGGTGTAAACAGACTTTCAGTTACAGTACCAGGTTCTGTAATTTGTAATAGAGATTTACTTCTCAAGACTGCTTATAATTTTTAAAAATTCCACCATGCTCATCCCTCTATTTTTGCCTTTTTCTTCCTTGCTTCCCTAATACTGTTTCATTCAATTCACAGACTCCTGTGGAGGCCATATGGTATCTTAGATTAATTTAACTTTGGGTGACATTTGATCTTGTTACCACCCACTCGTAATTAATTTCTATTTGTATTCCATTGAAGAAATTCTCAGTTAGCTGTCTTCTTTATGCTTCTGATTATTATCTACAGTTGAAATTTATTTTTTTTCTTTTTTGTAGCAAAAAGCAAATCATTTTATAAAATGATACTAGTTTATTCTGTTATTTCTAACTGTTCTTTGGCTCTAGGAAGCTTTAGTTTATCTGGTTATCAGTGAATTCTGAGCTACATGTAATAAAAAAGTACAATTAAAATTTATCAAAGTACAGGTTCTAGAAAAGGATCAACATGCACGAGGGTGCTAGCTCTGTAATTTACCCGCTGTATGACCCTGGACATGTTTCTTTCCCCTCTGAAGCTCGCTTTCCTCATTTGGAAAATGAGGATGAAATAAGGTGTGAGTGCACCCTAATTTGATACATGCCCTTAACTTTCACTAAAATTGTTGTGTACATTTGGGTCCATTTCTGGGTTTTAATATCTAGTAAGGCTGTCTTATTTTTATCTAGTAAGGCTTGTCCTGTTAAAATGAGTGAAGTATTTATTTTGGAGGATGGAGGAGATATGGTTATTTTTTTACCTTGGTTCCTTTATAAATATTTTTAAATTGTAGTATATTAGACAATTTTCCTCAATTCTACTTAAACTTAGGATTAGTTTCTGTTAAAATTTAGAATTACTGAGCCTAAATTAGAGCATATGGACAACAAAGATATTAAAAACAGTAATTCCCATTTTGGAAGTTTATAGAAATTACTTGTTTCATGTAAAACATCTCTTAAATTTAGTATTGTTGGACTCAACTATATTGTTACTTATTTAAAGCAACTAGTGATAATATCTTCAGTTTCCACAAGTAAATATTATGTTTGACCAATGAACTTAACAATTTTTATTATAATCTTAGAAACACTGTGGTATATGAGTAGGATTTGAAATAGAAGACCTTTGCACTCACATCTGACATTTTACTTACACCAGGTAGTTTTGGATGTTGGGTGTGGAACTGGAATTCTCTCTATGTTTGCTGCTAAAGCTGGGGCGAGAAAAGTTCTTGGTGTTGATCAATCCGAAATACTTTACCAGGCGATGGACATCATTAGGTAAATGTACATTTAAGGCTTGATTCAAAATTATTTTAAAATTTGACAGTTATTTAGTAAGTTTTCTTGTCTTTACTAGCTGTGTAATACAGACTCAAGACATTTGTCTTGTAGTAAAAAGTCTTCTCTAGAATGCTAAGATTTTAAATTGGATTGAGTTAGATATGTTTGAACTGATGCTGAGTAATCTTTTCACAGCTCTGATTGGTGAGAATTACTGTCATATTGTTTTCTTGTTTTTGAATTATGTTCATAAATATGTTAATTCTAACATGGAATTAGAAATTGGTATGTAGCTAATATTGACAGAGCTCTCAATAGAAGTAAATACTTATATCAGTAATATTTTCTTTGCCAAATAGTATTTAAAGGCATTTTGTGTGTGTGTGTGTGTGTGTGTGTGTGTGTGTGTGTGTGTGATTCTAGCCCTTGTACCTCCTTTATGTTTAATTTTGCAATGGCTAAATATAAGGCAGAGAGGATTTAGTTGATCCTCTGAAACTTAGTATCTCCTCTTTAATCTGTCGTGATGGATTTTGTAATTGGTTTACATCCTAAGAAGAAGGGCTGTATTTGAAATACAGCTCACGCAACTAATTTCTTTATCTCTGTCCATAACAATAGCACCTTACATCTGAAATGGCAGTAATTTTCAGAATCATTAATAGGAGGCTTCTTACAGTAAATTTTTAATGGTTCTTTCATTGAAATTTAGGTTTCACCCTTGAAACTGATCTGTCTGAACAGGGTACAATTTAATTATGTTTTTGTTTATTTGTTTGTATGTTTTTTGAGACAGGGTCTTACTATATAGTTGAGACTGACCTGGAACTCACTATGTAGCCCACACAGGTCTCAAACTCAGTGATCCTCCTGCCTCAGCCTCCTGAGTGCTGGGATTACAGACATGTGCCACTATGCCTAGCTTGGTTCGATTTAATTATGACTGTATTAAGTATTTAAATGTTTTTAGGATCTTACCTGTCATATAGAAGGATCATATTTTGATTAAGAGCACAGGTTGATTCACAGTCCTCACTTTACTTGGATTAATTCGGAGTCCTCACTGAACATTTAAACAGTGTTTTCAGCTTGGGCTAAATTATGTCTAACCTGTTGGAAACCTCAGTTTCATAGTCACATAATGTGGCTATGAGTGAGATAAACTATAGCTATGGCATATGTACAAGTCACTTTGTGTATTGCCTGACACATAGTAAATGTTTGACTGTAACTATGGTTATTGTTAAAAAGTACCAACTTATTATTAGTAGATAAATTATGTTAATTTTTCAGATATTGTTTTGTAGTTGTAATTTTATATTAGAGTATTGATATAGTCTAGAATTGCAGTTGCTATTGTATGTGCAATTCTCTGATTTAGTAAAATTTTTTTTTTTTTAGTTTTTCTGATGTATAACTAAGTATATCATTGTCATTTTGGGGGTTCTGAGGGAACTCTAGATTGTGAATTGTTATCATTCACATATGAGAACCTCTAGTCAAAGAGATTATTTTTAAGAATTAACAAAAATATTGTTGATAACTAAAATTATGGAAAGATATTTCTATTAGAAGTTCCAATCTTATGAATGGCTATGTTCATTGATGTTTTTAACTTGTCATTTTTTATTTATTTTTATTTTATTCATTTATTTAGTTTATTTTTTTCCGGTACCGGGGATTGAACTCGGTTCCTTGCGCTTGCAAGGCAGGCCACCAAACCGCTGAGCTAAATCCCCAGCCCTGTCATTTTTTATTTATTTTTATTTTATTCATTTATTTAGTTTATTTTTTTCCGGTACCGGGGATTGAACTCGGTTCCTTGCGCTTGCAAGGCAGGCCACCAAACCGCTGAGCTAAATCCCCAGCCCTGTCATTTTTTATTTTTATAAAACAGGGCAGTATGTGCTGTTAAAGAAGAAACTGAAAAACATTGTGCTAACATTCATTCTCTTATTTTGTCCATTTTATCATTTTATTTTATAGGAGCCTTGATTCCCAATGATTTCTCTGGAAACATGTTCATACAGTGATTACATTCAAATTCATTGTATATAAATTGTATAAAATTCCTTGTACAAAATTTAGTGCTAGAGGGTACACTATCCAATTTTTAAGGAAAACATTTTAAGCATTTCTTATGTATATATTTAATTTTCACTTAATGAGGAGAAGGTTTGTGACAGAAATTGTTGGCAGTGGGAAATTAATTCTTAATCCTTTTTTCTCTGTTCATCAGCTTTATCCTGATCTGATACTTTAGATGTAGTGTTATAGTTTGAGGAGATGATAGTCAAATTAAGCATATTTGTAGTATGTAAGTGAGCTCTTTGAAGAAAGTTACTTAAAAATTATGTTTTTCCAAACTAATTTGGTCCAGCCAATCTGTATGTCTTAAAACTTAATACTTGATGATTTAATACCTGTACAGAAAACCTTGAAAATATTTTAAGATGTTAAAATCACAATGTTTTTATTAAGATAAAAGAATATTTTTTTTCCACATAATCCCAAGTCATTTTATTAGAGTTAGAAGATATATTTATGACTAATATAGAGCTGAGGTGGTTGGGATTAATATTTCTTGGATTTTTCAACTCTACAGTGGTTACCTGTTTATATAATCAAAGGATAAATATCATTTTCATTTATTAGTGTTATTTCTGGTAAAATAGTGTCTTGAGGGCCAAGGAGATAGCTCAGTAATAGAACACATGTGCCCCCCCAATCTTTTTGTACCAATGAGCAGTAGCAGAAATGTCAAACAAACAGTGGTCCTTTTTCAGCAAATGATAAACTACAGGGCTAAGGGGGTATTGTTCTAAGTATGAAGGCAATTAACTGCTCTTCCCTTTTCATCTTTAGCTTTTACTTTTCAAGCCAGAACTTCAGAGAATGGCTCTTTAGCAATACTAGATTTGTCTTTCTGATTATCAAGAAAATGCATGTTCCTCTTTCCCCTTTCTGAGTCGATGTACATAAAAGGCCAAAAAAGTATATTTATTATCTTGTAGCTGTTAGTACTAATGATCAGGCTTGTGCATCTAGTTGTTTGTTAAATACTCTTAATTCATAGTTTTTCTTTTTAAGGTGGAGACTCAAATATTATAGTTACATCAAAATACTGTGCAGTGATATTTGTGTAAACCTTTGTCTTATCGTGTTTAAGGTGCAAAATAGGCATTATTTTTACTGTCATTACTAGAATCATAGAGAGGACTACTAGATATGTTTTGCTAAAGTGAAAATTTAATTATTTTTTCACAAAACTGTTAAGCAGTTGTGTAGTCTCATCCCTCTTACTCTTTGAAATAGCATAGCTTTTCCTGAGAATCTTTACTTTTGAAATTTTCACCATACACAAAAGTGGAGAGACTGATATCTGGGTCTCTGTGTACCTAAGACCAGTTTTAAGTGATTAATGTTCTGCCATTGTGTTCTATCGATTTCCTTCCTCTGCATGCTTTATGTACTATTTAGTTTTTGTTGGTGTATTTTAGGTACATCTTACACATTATATTAGCAAAAGTGTTAATACATTTTAATATTAGTGCATGAGATCATTTGTTGAAAATTGACTTAGCACTCAATCTTTAGTGCTTTGTTTTAACAATTTAAATTGCTGACATTAATTTAGTACTTCCTATTGAATTTCATTTGAAGTAAGTTTAGATTATGGTCCTTATTGTAAAATGAAGAAATTGAGGCACAGGGATTAAGTGACTAACCTTTTTAGTAGGAGAGCCCGGATTTGATCCCAGGCAGCTTATTCCTGGTCCTCAGGGCCAACTTGCTCTGCCATCTTTCCATTTAATGACTTACAGGGTGGGCACTGGTTGCATTCACTGGTTTGCTTTACACAGAACCTACATGAGTTTTAAAAGCAGGCCTTTTTGTTTTGGACGAGCCTCCCTTGTACTGTTTCTTCAGAAATCGTCTGGTTGCATTTTTTGTATTGTGAAAAGGTAGCTATTTTCATAGTATTCATATACATCTCCTTTGTTTTCCACTTGAAATGTTGAAGTGTATGCGCTGGGGTGAAATGACTTAAGTCTGTGAATGTATTTTAAAAGAATATGCAGGAAGCCGTTTATTGTTAAAAGTCTCTTCAGTTTATACCAGGTCATTATTCTGCCAGTCCAGGAGGCAGGATGGCATAATTGTGTCAGAAGATAAGGCTGCCTATTCTGATATACAGATGTGAATAAAATGGAATGTAGATTTTTGTAAGACGTTAGTAAGGGCAAATAGAATTTAAAAGTGGTATATGGAACAGGATAAAAAAATGGTATTTTATTCTTGGTATCATTTTAGAAACTCCAATGAAAGATCATTTCAAAACATACAAACTTACCTAAGGATAGCAAAGTTCTGCAGTTGCCAGACAATTGTATTCACCCTCAGGAAGCAGAGATGCTTCTGGTAATAGTTTCTTCATCACTCTGGCTGCCTTTGGTTTGTTCTTGACTCAGCCACGGAAGGGCTCATTATTCAGACTGAGGTGTTGCTGGAGAAGAGTTGCCATGAGAAGGCTGATCCATGACACTGCCACAGTGCAGTACTTTCAATCTCAGCATGACATGAAAGATACTGTCTTTTACATTGCTGTGTCTAGAATATGGTGAGAAAAGAATGATTAAGAAAACTCTTTTAAGAGTGCTGGGGTGTAGCTCATTGGTAGAGGACTTGCCTAGAATGTGTGAGGTCCTGGGCTTGATCCAGCATTTGCAAGGTAGGTGCGGTGCCACTGAGCTAAATCCCTGGCCCTTTGATCCAGAGTTTGATTCTAAAGATCCCTTAATTTCCTCTCCATTCAGTAGTCCTGTTCAGAGGTCCATGACTACTAGTAGTTCAGTGGATCCCTTGAACTAACTCTCACTGTTCTACAAAAAGCTGTGTGCTTGGCTAAGGTTTATTACAGCACTGTGTGCAGTGCACAATCCACAGGAAAAAGATATCCATAGGCAGAGAGGTCGCATACAGACTTCAAGCCATGC